GCTAACACACACACTCTTACCCAATCCAGCCAGCTACTTTGGATGAAAACCTTGGATGAACAGTTGTCTGTGTTAAAAGATGCAGTACAACTGGAATCCCAATTATATTGCCCAATCTAATAACACCATTTCACCCACAAGATGAAGTCACTGGTGTGATTCATATGTACATGTGAGCATGCTTGGACCATTGTTATAGTAGTGTAGTGTACTGTTAGGTTTGCCATAGAAAGTGTTAATGTTGCCTTCTGTTTTAATTCATTAAAAACTTTAAGCCTCCCAAGGTTTTATAACAATCCACACTTAGGCTACACAGTCATTTCTCATCTAACATTTGGAGTACAGAGATGATCTTGGTATCACCAGACAGCTTAATTTTTTCCTGGTTCCTGGTTTTCATTATGAAATTAAAAAAGTGGTAACTGGTTAAAGATGTTGTTCTTCTTTCGGCTGTTCCCGTTAGGGATCACCACAGAGGATCATTGGTCTGCGGATTTGCTTTGGCACAGCTTTTACTCCAGACGCCCTTCCTCACGCAATTTTTATCCAGGCTTGGGACCGGCACTGGACCCCCAGTGGCTCTGGTTGGTTCCCTGGCTGGGAATTGAAACCTGGGCTGCGGCGGTGAGAGCGCCGTGGCCTAACCACTATCCTCCAGGGCCTGGTACTTGGTTAAAGCGACTAAAAGGAGCAGGCCATAATTTTTCAATGTGTTCCTTCCTAACAGCACTTGATTCACCTGGCTCAGGTGTGCTGGAACAGTTACAGATGTTTAACACAGAGGAACTGGGACTCAGTGAAGAAGACCTCAAAGCTGTACAATAATAAAGTTCTTATTACAATACTATACAATGTAGGAATTCAGTGACTTTAACAATTCTGACATTGTTTGGTAAAATCATGGCTTTACAGACCCTGAGGAGAAATCCAGCTCAGACTGACTAAACACACACCGAGCTGCTGGAATCTCTTCCAGCTTTCTTAGTACTTGTCTATGCTGATTAATAAATATTTGAGATTTTCTAATTGGCTAACTGTTGTTATTTCCTTTAAACCATGATGTATTATTATAAACTATGATGTACATATTTATTCTCTCTGGCTTTCAGTATTCCACAAACATGGGTTTGATCACTGTATTACTACTGTATTTGCTTTACTTTGTTGCCTGTCTGTTTTTCTTGTAGTTTTATTCTTTGTACAGCACTTTGGTCAACCCTGGTTGCTTTTAAACGTGCTTTATAAATAAATATTGACTGATTGATTGATTGATGGAGCATTAGTAGCAGTAGTGTCCATGCTCCCAGTACAGATGGCCTGCCTGCTCGGCCTGTGTTTTAGCAGCTGATAGCAGGTCACACACAGCTGGATTTTCAGCACAGAATGGTGCTCAACACTCACCAAGTCTCTCTACAAGTTACATTACAGCACTGTTATGTCAACCGAAACTTTTTTTTTTTTTTTAAATATATAAAATTCTCTTTAACAAAGACTTAATAGCAAGCATTTCCTATGAGCTGCATCCAGAGACCTGCAGCTGAATGTGCGTTACAATCGACTCGGCTAAGTAATCCACAGACTGTCATGCTAGCATGCTCAGTGTTTGTTTTTAGCTTAGCGTACCAACACTTCACATATCTGTGCCCACGTCTGTGTGTGTGTTTGCCACGTGGGAACTTTCTATAGCCCTAAAATGAAAGTGAACGAGCCTTTCCCTAGAGTTATACACCCGTATATAAAGCGAACGCATTTGGTGGTTAGTAATTAGTTACACCGCCTCATTCGCAGGCTGCAGAGCAGTTTCCTGCCGTTACCGCTGTCCTGTCAAGACACGTAGCAAGGCGAGAGCCACCACAAAAGCTGCAGAATGCTAAGAAAGCAAAAAAAAAAAAAAAACCTATCCATCATCACCCAAACACCAGCACACCTAACGCTAAACTGAGACTCTAGAGCTACGCTGAAGCTGTTTGTCACGGGCGAGGAATCGGAGTTTGCAGATGAACCTCATAGCATTTTGCATAATGAGCCGCTAACGCCAGCTTCGCCTCCGACACTTTCTCTACAGCGCCTCGTAATTCTACACACCTGCTCCTGAAAAGCGCAGTTACAATGTCCTACTGCAGCACACCGCTCAACCATGCCATCCCTCCCCAAAACCACACACAACAACCCGGCCCAGGCACGGAACCTCCTGTAATTCTCACCTGAAGCCGCCATGATGGAGAGCGAGTGCGTGTCACATGCCCCGGATGGAAACGTCACCACGTGCTTGATGACGTAGCCACCAATTTTTTTTATGGAGTAACCTGTACATAAACAATATAAACATGTATAAACAGTTTAACAAATATAATTGCTAGGAGGAATAAGTATCATTACACAAAGATATGATATGAAAAAAGTTCATGCCTGTACAGTCTGAACAGCTTTCTGGTTTTTTTTTTTTTTTAATTGAGGGCAAGATTGGTTCAGTATAATGTATCCTTTCCTTTGTAAACACTGAAAAGCATGGTTTCTTTCCTGACCATTTATGCATTTATGGATATGGAATTTAGCTATTAAGAGAATAAAATTGACCAAATACGTCTGTGTTCGCCCGTCTTTCTGACTCTAGACCCAACAACACATGTTTCCACTGTAAAATATAATCATCAATATTTTCAATAATAAATTCCAGTGCATTTTGCCAAAAAATGCTACCAAAGGGCAGTACTAAAACAAATGTGTAGCTGTCTCTTCACATAAATTGCAAATGCTACAGTCTACATCTATATTTTTTTTTAAATTTAACAAGATAAGATGTTTAGCAGGGTATATTCTATGAATAAGTCTGAAAGATACTTCTTTAATCTTGTTAGTTATAAAATAATGATTAGGCAAAAAACTTTTTTCCAGTTGACATCATCCACAAACTGACTCCATAATGTAATTACATTCAGTCGTGTACCAAAGTTTTTTTGGAACAGAGCTCTTATTGATGGGTTATTATTTGTGACAATGAGAAGAAAAACATATTTCAACTACACGAGAGAGTCTGAGTATAAGGGGGGTGTTGCTGACAACTCCCACAGACATTGCAACAAAGACCTTTGCAAATTCCCCTGCTGGTTCAGGGATGTTATAACGCTTCAAAAACTCGTCATATGTAAAGGGAAGTGTCTATATGAATTTATTTATACTGCATTGCATACTACTAAAAAAAAAAACATAAAACACAAGTAACCTGTCAAATGGGTTCATCCAGTGGACCAGAAGCTTTTTTTTTTTGGATAGCGTCCTGGTTGAGTAATAGGTGACGCCACATCTTCAAAAAATGTTGTGGTGAAATTTCACAATTTTCACTGTTAATTGTGCAAGAACAAGATTATATTTTTGTAACATCAGGAGCATGAGATTATTTGTTGGCAGTGAGATACTCACATAAAACCATGACGGTCAGTTCTAGCTGATTGAAGGCAAAGCCCTTCCTCTCTTTCAAGGGAAAAATATATTAAAAAGGGTCCATTTTTGGCATTCGCCTTGGCTTATTTGCTGTTAATAAATGGTTTGCATTCAATTATATTTTACTGTTGTGGAACCACCAATGGTTGTAAGTAAAAAAAATACACAGAATGGTATGGAGTAAAGCCTAGGGCTGACTTCTTTCTAGCCCAGACTGTAGATTCACACAGCCTAGCTCTCTTCTTGACAGCTGTACTTCTTCTTCTACAGCTTCTCTGACACATCCAGAACACCTCATCAGCCATGACTGACAAGGTACACATGACATTCAGTAGTGGGTACAGAACATGAACAAAGTCGATTACTTTCTCAATTACTGATTTTTCAAAAGGTATTTGGAGGAGAAACTAGTAGTATATCGACTAAGCAAACATTGTCCAATCAAAGTACAAATTACACAAAGGGACAAACAACAGAACTGTAAGTTTTCTGCAGTTTGAACACAAGTACGCAAGCACAGCTTTTCTACTTACGATGCTTGCTATTCAGAAGGCACATGGCATGATTATGGACTTGAAATGTTTAAAATGACAATCATAAAAGGTGTTGCCTATATGTCTTTCAGTGAATGTTCCTGTGTGTATGCATACTAGTTTTACGCCTACGATGCGACCCCATTCCGATAAGGCTCAAACTTTCATAAGAGTAATGCTGTTGTTACTGATGGGTAGCAGAGTTTTTTAGCCCTCCCATTCAATATGATGAATATTGTGATGAAGACGAATATATTTTCAGGTGCCACTTCTATCTAATACTTGCATTCATTGAGTTTTTGATGATGTACACGTACATATAGGTGCATGTTGTAGGTTTACAGTTAGTGACTGTAGTCTGTCTGTTGCGATGCATAGTGGGCCAGCCATTCTCTGCTACATACATTAGTAGGAATGGACCATCGTAGTCTACCTCTAACCAGATATTATTTGGGTGGTAGATTATTTTCAGCACAGCAGTGATAATGACATGGTAGTGATCTTGCTGATGATCTTATGGTCCATTGTTTCCATTGATGGATGGGGTAGAAGGGGGCTGACACATTGTAAATAGTTGCTTACAATGCTATTAACATTTTTCCTTGAGCTGATAAGCCTTGGTCTAGTGTACTGACCTTGAGATATTCAAAGCCTATTGTTTAAAAATATTTCTACTCGTCATGGTTATATAACTGATATTTTAGTTAGACTTTGAGTGACAAGCTGGAAGAATACTTGGCTATCCAGATCACCGAGGGAGGCTTGTCTGCCATTTATTTTTCTGGTTGTTTATTATAGATGTTTATTGTAGACTATACTATATAATAATGGGCCTAGTTGGTAGCTTTTCTATCATATAATTCTGGTAAACAATTGTCCTGCCCTGGCTAAAATGGATAGGCCAGTTGGTTCTACTAACATGTTTAACAATTTGTGTGATTTATTATTAACATTATTGCCAATGCAGTCCAGAATAAGTCTGCAGCATCACTACCAGAATACTATGGGGTATAATTTCAGCGGTAGTGTCATATAGGCCTGTGGTTCTCACAGTGGGGTCCATAATTAAAAAAAGTTGCAATTCTGCACATTAAAATCCACTGTTATTAAAGATATATTTATTATTGAGTTTTTATAGTTTTCTTAGTCTTTTTGACTGCTCCCTTGCATTTAATGGGTTTAATTCAAACCTCAAGAACTCAAACACATGTAGCCCTATAAATAATGTCAGCTTGGACCTAATATGCTCTGTACAGGAATAGAAACATTTTAAATAATGTTCATGAAATAAATCTGTACTTAAGGGGTCTGTTGGATTTATTTTACATTTAAAAGAGTCCCTGGCTACAAAATGTTTAAGAAACCCTGAGATAGGCTATCTAATGCAGAGCCGGGTAGTCCAGTTAGAGACTCTGACTAGAGATTAGGGGTGTAACAATCAGACAATTTGTATCAATGCATCAGTTTAAAAGGGAACTATTTAAATGAATTGAGCCAACAATCATAAATCATTTATTATTTGCAATTTTAACTGAGTATAAATCAATTATTACCAAAAAAGAACAGACAGGTTGTATGTAACAAATTATTCATGTTTTTAAACTGATGGGTAAATAGGCTAGTAAGATGATTTGCCCTTAACTCTGATACTCAATATACTGCAGTCTTTCTCTGCGTAATTTATGAATTAACTGCAGGCCAACCCCAGATTCTGAACAAAGTTGTTCACATCAGTTGGAGGCTACTAAATTGAACTGTATCATATTGTAGCAGATTCAGTGGTATCGTCAAATATTGAAACGTTGCCTTGAGAATCTGAATCATATCATATCATGTGGAAGCCTGAGGATTACCCCCCTACTGCCACACTCGTGTAGCACGTTGACTGACTTGTGACTCAAGTGTGCCACATGAACAAAAGCAATTTCTGTGACTAAACAAGTTACATGACTGTCATACACAGTAACTGCTCTTTGGTAACTAAGCACAAAACCAAAAAGTGTGAAGCAGTGTTGAAAGCTGGTTTCGTGTTTTCAGCATTCTCGTAGTCCACAAAAAGTGGAGTTAGAAAAACATTTATCCTTGGTTACAGAAGTTTAGAAAAGGTAATTAAAACGCCCAATTTCTAAAACTCTATCCAAAACACACTACACAAGGAGGGGTTCTGTTTATCCTCACAGGATTGATGGTGAATGCATCATTAGGAACTTAACACAGCTACTGAGGTGTTGGTTATAGTCAATAATTCACACTTTCTGAACAGATTATTCTCTATGATTACAAATACTAGAAGTTGGAACAATAATTGTAATATGTCTTGCTATAAGACTGTGTAAAGCAGGGGCAGAACAGAGCAATTAAAATTATTACCCAAAAACCATGATAAAAACATGAGCAATAGAAGACCCTCCACTAAAGAAATGTTTGAGTGTACAGACTTGATGTGGTGTTTGTCAGTTTTTGTCTGGGCCGTTGTTTAGTAATGCAATAAAACCTGAGATTAGAAAATAACCAATGTGCAAAATATGCATTTTCTTAGGCAGAATAAATTATGATGGTTAAATTCAACCCCGCCATCACAGGGGAAGTTGACCTGGGCCCAGGTTGAGGTAGAGACCAAAATACATTTATGGCATTTGACAGACACCCTTATACAAAGCGACTTATATTCATCTCATTTATACATGTGAGCAGTTAAGGGCCTTGCTCAAGGGCCCAGCAGTGGCAGCTTGGTGGTGCTGGGATTTGAACTCATGACCTTCTGGTCAGAGGGTTAATGTCTTAACCACTGAGCTACAACCCCCCTTATAGAGGGCAAAAACATAGGATTGCCCCAAGCAAATTGGGTAATAAAGACGACTTTGTCTAGGCTCATCTAGTTGCTGAGTGGTGATCTCAAATGCTGGAAAAAGGAGACTGTATATGTTAAAATGGAAAAAGAAAGACTGCCTTAAATGTCCTGGATGTGATGTTCTTGTTTTTTTTTTTAATCCGAGGAATGCCTCTATTTCAAATAATTAGCCTTTAATATAATATTCAGTTTTTCAATATGTAATAAATGGTGCAACAAAACAAATGACATCAGCAAAATAACTTCAGGTTTCAAAAGACACATTAAAACACACCCAAAAAAAGCTTCGCTTGGATAGCAAGTGTGTGATCAGTCTAGCCCAATATCTAGCATACTGTATATACCTTAATTTTTGTTTATGTTTTCAATACACGTGTGCAAATAAGTGTGATTTTTTTTTACATATAGCTTCTGACATTAAACAGGAGTAAGGCTGTACCCTGTACAATGTGCACTGCTATATTCATTCTAGGGAAAGTACTGCATACAGTTCTACACACAGTATGTGCGTTAAAACAAAAAAAGATCCCAAAAAAGGATCCTCTCTGGTGGCACTGAAGAGGAAACCACCCACAGGCTGAAAGGGTGAGACAAGTTTGAGACTGTGACCCAGTATTTGTTGTGCTTTTTTAGGACCAGGTTGTTGCTAGAATTATTCTTAGAATTTGTTGGAGACACCCTTGCAGCTTTTGATATAAATTTGCTATAAACTCACTTGTGAATGCTACAAGTGCTATTTTTTAGGAAGGGTGTGGAATTTATCAGGCTAGTGAGCAGTCCTGCAGCAAAAAAAGAAAAAAAGAAAAAAGATATTGCCTGTCCACTGGGTGGCAGTTTTGTCTCTGCAGACAGAGAGAGACGTCTCTAAAGTCCAACTTTCAACAGCTCATTCATGTTTGATAGGAATGACGTTACAGATTAGTTTAATCGTGTAAACTATCAAACTAGGCTGAATAATAGGGTGTTTGTAGACCAGAGATTGTCTGACTTTTTTTTCCAGCAGAGCTGAGTGAGAAGAGCCCAGTATTTTTAAGCTGACATAACCAGTATGTCACTCTCTTTCCCTCTTTCAGTTCCATGTATAGAGAGAGAACAGCAGCGAGTTCTGGTTGCATTCAAAGTACTGAGGTTATGCTTCATTTAGGCTATACCAAGTCACTCATCCAAAAAGAGGAATCATCTTTTTTTTTTAAGAAATCTCTGTACCGAAATGCATTTAATCCTATTTAAAATCATTCTGTGACATAGGGGACAACTTTAAGACGTATTAATTAGCAAATGTTTTCTGCCTGTTTTTCCTCCCTCGGGATCACAAGGTCCTTTCCTGACATGGTCGTGAGTCACTCCTCAACACTTCCCCTTTTTTGGCCTTCTGTTTTTGCCCAAAACCTGACAGAAGTAGCTATGGAAACGGCTTCTGCGTGTCTGATAAGCCACTGCAGGGCAGGGCCAGTACGCGTGGGAAGACTGGGAGGCGTCCAAATGTCCCACAAATCAGCGCAGAAGAGCCATTAAGAGGCCTGCACCCCTCCTCCCCCATGTGTTCCCTCCTCAGGGCCAAACCCAAGGTCTTCACAAACTGCCAAGCGGCTCATCATTTGTTTTGGCAACAGATAGCCTCCCCTTGCATTCCAAACAGTAGCCCACAAACGCACTTTCCACATAGTGCAATTAGAAAAGGGGATTTTGTGCCTTACTTGCTAGTTTTTGTTGCAGTTCCTTTTCAAATCATGGATACATCTGCTTTTGAAAATTTTCTGACCATGTCCAAAACTGTCTTCACTAATGTACTATAATCAGTAAACACTTTACAAGTGTGAGCATAGTGTATTGAAAGCACTGTTGATATACAAATACTGAGGCAAAACTTCAGACTGATTGGATTACTTCTTGCTTATAGACTACTCTCATCTCAATCTCTCCTTTATATTGAAGAAACTCAAGGTTACTCCAAAGTTGCCAGGTCTCACAAATCTTGAACAGCTCCTTTCACACACTCCTGAGACTCTCATTAAAATAGACCCTGATGTGTAGCACTGCTTGTGTAGCAGTTGTGTAGTTGCCAGGTTCATGACTGGTGAGTCAGCAGGGTGTTTGTTTTTGGGGGATGTACAAATGCACTGACAGTGCTGATGATGGGAATCGGGTGGTCATGTGTGAGATATGAGCTTGATGACTGAGAGCTTATCTAAACGACACCGTGCCTGTGCATCTATCTGCTGTATTTTATAACAGTAATAAAAGAACAGGTCATAGATCAGTGGTTTAAGTCAGTCAGAGGTGTCAGATTCCAGTCCTGGATGGCCATATAAAGGTAGAGTTTAGCTTTGTCTCTCATTTAACACACCTGATTCAACCCATTAGCTATATACCAATGGCTCCATGGGCTGAAATTTGTGTGTCTGTGTGCAGATTATATTGCAGTGCATCCCCACCTGCTCTCTCAGTGCTCTTTTCAGTTGTGTTACATCAACAGCTGTTCATAAAGCTCGTGAGCGATAAAGGAAAGAGAAGGCCGAACAATACACACTGAGCATTCGAAGCACACCGAGTAGTCATCACATGCACATCTTTCTTTCCTCTTTCACTTTTTTTTTTTTTTTTTGAAGCAAATCAAATATTGCCCAACACTGCACCACCTTAAATGGTAATTGCAAAGTAAACATCATTACAACCTTCAGGTTTGTAAAAAAGTAAATTATAAGATGGCTTTTCACTTGTCCAGTGTTTATTTTGAGATGTGTGCATGTTTTGTTAGAGGGAGAGTTTTCACACGTGCACACCTATGTTTAGTTTGGTGTGATCATTAACTGTATCCATAATCTGAGAAAAGAACACACACACACATATACTGACAGGTGACAAGGAAACAGCTTCAATGCACTTCTACATGTCTCTTCGACTGTACTAGAGACATGAACGCCATTCTTCAAAAGATATTCCCTCAATTTGTATTTTAATGGTGAGGGTAAAGAGCACTGTCTAACACCTCGGTCCAAAATCTCCCATAAGTGTTCAGATCGGGTTGAGGTCTAGTGACTGCAAAAACCCTGGCATATGAATTGCATCATTTACTTATGTATCGAACCATTCAGTGATCCCTTGTGCCATGTGACGTGGAGACTGTCATCCTGGAAGAGCCCACTCCCATCAGGATAGACATATGACACATGTATGCATGACCACATGCATGCACTCTGCATTATTCTTCCCAGTCTGACGGTTACCAGTGGTTTCTGCAGTTTCATGTGATTTGGCATTCTAATGTCAGATATCTGAGTACTCTGTTACTTTTAAATAGTTTGTGTGTTGGAAGAAAATAAAAGTGTGCTCTTGTGCAGTATCAGCAGATATAATCTACACCAGGTTATGGCTTCATTATCGCATTTCCTCACTTTCTTGTTACATTGTTTACTGTTACACTAGAGGGAGACTTTTGTAGGACTTTTTATAGGTTACAGCAGTGACCCATCACTCCCTCTCTCTGTCTCTCCTTTCTCTCTGCTTTACTCTACAAACACTAAGAGGCACAGATAAATGGACAGCCATAAATACGGTGTGATAAGTGAAATGTTTACCACTTGTTATAGCACAGCTTTAAAGAGTTTTAGAAAGTGTGTGGAAAAGTGGGCTAGACACTAAATGATAATTATATACCAGGAACCTCCCAGCTGTAGCTTTTTCCTCCCATGATAGATGATTTCTCTCAGACGTTTGACTCATATCCTTAAGCGCACAGGAAGAGTACAGTAAACAGTACACAGCAGGTCATCTTGAAAAAATTTGGGCACAAATTGCTTTTAAGGCTCCATATGGCTTTTTAATTCTGAAAACAAATATCATAGGGTTTACTGGATTCTAGCTCAGATATCTGGACCTAGCTCTCACATCCCTTCAATAAGATTGCTTTATTCTGCTCAGGGTCCTGGTGGATCCTAAGCCTATCCCAGGAACATTGGGCATATGGTGGGATTACAACCTGGATAAGACACCTTTGCAGTGACCAAAGCTTCAGCCTATATTCAAGCTGAAGTTTGCTTCTGTAAAAAAAAATCCATGTGACCAATATGTGAAATGAACACAATATAGTAACACTATAACACAATATAGTATAGTGAATGCTTTTTGCCCAGTGATACTCATTTTTTTATTATTATATGTGATGAAACAGTCTCGTTTCTAACTAATGTGGCATATTGATGTAATGTAAATTGCTATTGTTTATCTGGTTTACCTGGCATGTCTGAGTATTAGCAGTATACATATAATAACACTCACTCACTCACTTTCAGTAACTGCTTTATCTTGATCAAGGTCATGGTCGATCTCGGGAACACTGGGCGTGAGATGGGGACACACCCTATATGGCAGGGACGCCAGTCTATCACAGGGCACCATGGACACACACATCCATACACTCATTCACACTTAAGCGCAATTTATTTTAGCCCATCCACCTACTGGCATGTCTTCAGGAGGAAATCCAAACAGACACGTGCGAACATGCATAGAAACTCTGCACAGACAACATCCCAAATGCAGGATCGAACCGGGACCCTGATGCAAAATAGTCAGTTTCTAACATGCAAAATTCAATATCAGTATCTATAAAAGAGGCAAGAGAATGTCCGCAACTTAAAACACCAGAAGCATGACTTAGATTAGGAGTGGAAGAACTAAGAAACAATGATGGAAACCAAAGTGTCAGTACACACTCTAGACACAACGTGCGTGAGACGGAATGCAGCATATCTAGACACAGATGATAGCAATGATCAGTGACAAGGATCAGGAGCTTTGAAAAGGAGACCTTTTCCTTGTCCATGCCCTAACTTGTGCCTAGGTTAGATATTAACTTCTATAAATTTCCACATACCATACCAGGTGAAGAATTATTAACCAGGTTTCTTGCTTGTCTTTTAAGTCAGCATATATTACGTAAGATACGATGG